TCACACACATACATGCACAACACCAGCAGTGGCAGCAGTGTAGCTGCGGCTGCGCACATATCCATGCTCCTTCCTCCTTCCCACTCACTCATTTACCATGCTGGTGCTCGCACACAAATACATTTACAGGTGATGCACACGCACAGACAGGATGATGGAAATGTCAAGGATACTTGCCACGCGTGCCAGCTGCACTCGCCTCACACATGGTATGTGGGTGGTGATGAGTGGTTGGTTGGTTGTGTGATGGGGCTGTGGTGATGGGGTGCGATGAAGCGAACAAGTGGAAGAAGGGTTGATGGGGAATGATCGCACACACCGACACACACACACATACACGCACACACACACACGTGGTGCGTGTGACGTCAATCACTCTTTCTGCTGTGCTGTCATGATGGCTTGCTCTGTGCATGTTGTGTTCTGTTCCCAACCACGCCCCCCGCAACCACGCACATACACACACACACACATATGCACAGGTGGTGAGGTACCAGCACACATCAGGATGGTAATGATGGAAGCGGGCTCGCATGCCGGCTGCTGCTGCAACTCCCCCGATTTCGGCTGCCACTGCTGTGCTCATGCAGTGTTCCCATATGCGTGAGCAAGGTGAGCCCATCATGCAATGCTTTGGTCGGCACATGGCGCATGTGTTGGTGTTGCTGCTGTGGGGTGTTTGCTGTTGCTGCTGCTGTGCCTCGTGCAGCAGCTTAGCTGTGCAGCTCACATGTCATGCGTGTGTGTGTATGCAGGGGATGACTGTGTGAGGATCGTTGGAGGATGATGGGCGGGTGCACACATGATGGGTTGGGAGGAGCAGCTGTGGACACACACGTCCATGGTCATGGTGGGCACATCCAACCACAGCGACGCAGTCATGTGCAGGTGTGTGTGTGTGTGTGAGTGAGTGAGTGAGTGTGTGTGTGTGTGAGGAGGAGGAGGAGGAAAGCAGAGGAGGGTCAGGAAGGTGAACACGCCTGCTGTGCTCACATGCCATGCCTGTGCTGTGTGTGATGATGTCGTTGTGTCTTGTCGTTGTATGTGTTGGTTGCATGGGCACCAGGGCCACATCAGAGGAGGGGAAAGCAGCCGCCATGAATGCCACATCCTCATCAACCCTTCCCCATTCTCTCTCCTTTCTCTCCTCTTCCACCTCAGCTCCGCTGTCACCGTCATCGCCATCGACTGCACAGCCGCCATCACACTCCTGCTGGCACCAGCCCCAATCTGGCGTGAGGCAGACATTGCACATGTCAGTCGCTCTCATGAAGAGGTGAGCAGTGTGTGCGTGTGCGGGTGGTGGTGAGCGGAAAAACGTATGTGCGTGGTTGTGTGTCAATGCGGGTGGTTGGATGGGGCTGGCGTGTGGTTGATGATGCTTCGCTGTCAACCTCACGCCCCCCCTGAATTCTCTCCCTTCTTGTGTCTGTGCACACATGTTTCACAGCGTTGAGGAAGCACATGAAGCGGTGGAACCAACGACGATGACGATGACGAGTGATGGAGGTGAGAGGGGCGACTGATATGTGTGTGTGTGTGTGTGTGTGTTGGATGTTGTGCTTCCTTCTTCTCCTTCCTCTTTCCTTGTCTGTTCTGTCCACTCATGTGTCCTTTCTTCTTCTTCCCCTTTTTTCGATTGATTTGGGCACAGGACCATGCATTCTGTCTCCATCCAACCGACCAACCAAGCAGCCGAGCGAGCAAGCAAAGGACACGGCGTGGCAAGGGGCCGTTTGTTTTCACCGTTTCCACCAGCAACAACAGCAGCAGCTAATGTGTGGCTGCATTGTGGATGAACTGGCCCTCTGCCTCTCGTCCATCTCCTGCTCCTCCTCGTCGTCATTGGTCACCAACAGCAGCGGCTGCTGCCGTGGATGTGGAGGTGAGATAAATGGCGGTGGTGGTGATGGTGACGTGGGTGGCGTGTGATGTGTTGGTTTTGAACATCAGCATGTAGGTGCGTGATTGTGCGGTGCTGGTTGGATGTCGTTGGGTCTGCTGGTGGTGGCAATGGATGTTGTTGTCGTTGACAGCCTGATTTTGTGACAACTCAACTCTTTCTCCACACGCACACGTACAGGGGGTAATGTGCGTCGATGTGCCGTTGCCTCTCATGACGACGACGCTGGTGGTGGTGAGTGGTTTGTGGTGGATGTGGACAGCGCATGCACTTGCATGTGCAGATGTGGTGCTTGTGGTGGTGGTGGTGTGTATCTGTACGTGTCTTCGTGGTGATGTGACATGTGCGTGCACAGGTGATGATGTGAGTGATGCGAATGTGACAAAGGAGGTGGATGTGGTTTGTTTCTGCCATGCAGGCTCACTGCGTGGTGTTCTTCTTGCTGATTTGTTGTTTGTGCTTGCGCATGCGTACATGTGTGTGTTTTGCACAGGACGGTGGCGGTTCTCTTCCCCAGCCCTCACGACACGAGCAGGGCGATACACGCACACACAATTGTGCGAGAGAAGAAGGCACAAGGTGAGACGTTGGCTCTGTGTGTGTGTGCGTGTGTGTGTGTGTGTGTGTGGTGATGGATGGAGCGGTGGTACACGCACGCACACACGCGTGTACACATGCATGCCAACACACCAAAGCAGTCATTGATTGTGGGGTGGTTGCACTGACGTGTGTCGCACATGAATCAATCACACAACTCAAATGTGCGTGTGCGTATGCGTGGCTGCAGGCGGACGTGTGCGGGTTTCCCCAACCGATTTCCCTTCTTCTTTTCCCAACCAATTGTCTTTGCTCTGTGTCATCATCATCATCGGCCTTCCCCATGCGATGTGGAGCTGTGGAGGCGTGATCGAGACAGCGGCCAACACAGGTATTGCAGCAGTGGTGGATATGGTGGTGGATGTGATATCGCGTGTTTGCTTGCTTGCTCGTTGGGTGCTTGCTTCGTTGTTCTTGTGTGTAGGTGATGCACCCCGCCCACAACAAGCTGCATATTCCCATGCGTGGTCCCTTGTGTCCCTCCTTTCGTGTTCTCACCATCACCGGTCGTTGTTGTTCGTCTCTGGTTGGTTTCTCCTTGCATCACAGGCATTCAGGCTGGCTCGCTGCTTGTGCTGCTGCTGCTGCTGTGATGATGGCCGTGCGTGTGCATGTGCGCTGTGCACCGTGTTTGGGGCTGCACCGATGAAGACAAGGAAGGACACGGCCCGTGCCCACCACTCTTCCCCCTTCAGCTCCTCTTTCTGCTCCATCAGCGATGACGATGGCGGCCGTGGCATGTGATTGCGGTGCCCTTTTTCTGGCTTCGCTGTGGCACATTGGCTAGCTGGCTGGCTGCATCAAGCACAGGTGAGGATGATCGTTGGCGGTTGGTTGGTTGTGGGCTGGGTTGTGTCGAGTGGTGGGAAGCAGGGGAAGGAGGGAAGCGACACGGTGATGGTGGTGATGAGGGTGATGGTGCGACGTGGGAGTGCAGAGCGAAAGGAGGGAGAGGTGAGTGGTGGAGGGCGATGATGTTGGTTGGGGGATGGGGGTGCGTGTACACATGCACGTGATATCGTGGAGTGGTGATATCACAGAACAATGACACATATATCAGTGGCTCATCCCTTTTGCTTACACCTGTGTGGTTGTGATTGTGGTGATGACTGCAGCAGGCAACACACGGCATTGGATGCTGGATTGGATTGGCTGGGGTTGACTGGCCGTCGTGTCGTGTCGCCCATTTCTCTCCCTCCGTTGCTCATCTCAACCGAGGACACACACAGCGATGTGTGTGCATGTGTGCGTGTACATGTGTGTGCATCGCCATCAACCACGCCGACAGCAACACGATGCACGAGGTGAAGGCACGCAATGGTGTGTGTGTGTTTGGTGGAAGGGGTTGAGGGGAAGTGGGAGGAAGGCGTTCATCATGGCCACCATCACCACCATGGCTGTGCACCTGGTCATGTGACCGTGCATTTTTGGGGATGGAGATGAGGGGAGAGATGTTGTCGTTGTCGTTGTGGTGGTTGTGGTTGCATTGCTGTGTATGCGTGTGCATGGTGCATCGTCTCACTCTGCAATGCCATGTGTGACTGTGTGCGTGTGACTGTAGATGTGCGTGCGCGTGTGCGCATATGTCAGGCAGATGCGTTGATCAACGACGAGGTGTGTGTGATTGTGTGTATGGTTGACCTTTGTGTGCTTGTGCCCTCACACAACGCACAACACCAAGCATATCATCATCGCTGCACCCCATGTGTCGTTGTTGTCCACTCACGCATGGCATGTTCACATCCACCCCCTTTCCTTGCTTCTTCTCCTTCTTCCTTCCCTCTGCTGCTGCCACCCCTTCCACTGTTTCCCTCCACCCCCTTTTTACACACACAGTGAGGAACCCATCCACATCCAACACCCATGCCCACATCCACACGCGTGCCATGCCATGGCGAGCTGTGCCACCTCAACCAACCCAACCCAACCCAGGCCGAGGAAAGGAAGGAGGGAAAGCAAGGACAGAAGACGTGGGGCTCCCAACGGATGTGTGTGCGTGTGTGTTGATGGACGGTGTTCTCCTTTCCCCCTCCATCGCCTTGCCTCTTTCTTCCATGGCGATCTGGCTGGGTGGCTGTTGCCCCCTCCCCTTGTTTGTTTTTCTCTTCCAGCCCTTTGTGGCTGTTGGTTGTCTGTTGTGGCTGTGAGAAGGAGGAGGAAGGAGAGGCAGCGGAGAAGAGGAGAGGGTGCATGCTGTCCACAGCTGTGCATGTGTGTTTGTTTCTTCTTCTTTTCCATCCCCCCTTTCTTCTCCCCTTCTCCCTTCCCTCCTCAGCCGACAAGGCCTGTGGGCCTGCGTTGCATTCACACACACAGTGCTGTTCCCCCTTCCTCTTCTCCTCCTTCTCCTTCTTGTCTCATTGAAACCAACCAAACAACCAAGCAACCAAGCAAGCAACCAAGCAAGCAAACGCAGAAGCAAACAGCGGTTGCAGCAGCGGGCGATTATTTGTGGCATCTTCCACAAATCGCCCAAACACGAATCAACAAGACCAACACACACAAACAAACAAGCAGCAGGCGAAACGAGAATCAAGGTGCGTGTGTTTGAGCGGGTGGTGGTGGCTTGCGTTGTTCGTGTGCGTGGCTGGCGCAGGGTTGGTGGAGAGGAGGGAGAGGGTGCGCGTTGTGACGGGCACTCACTGGCGGTCCTGTTGTGGGTGGTCTCGTTTGGTTCCGTGGACTGTGTGGGGTGTGGTGGGTGATGGTGTGATGGTGAACAGGAGCAAGCAGAGAACACGCACAGCAGCGCCCACAGCATGGACGTGTGCAGGGCTAAAGGCATGCAAGGCGCTGCCCACGGCCGGTGATGCTGACTTATGTGCTGCACAGGCCCATGGCACGCTGACACCGTGAGTTTGGGCGAATTCTGTCAATTGGTTTGACCGCTGTGTCGGTGTTTGTGCTTGTGTGTGTGTGAAGGAGGGAGAGTGGGACGTGGCTGCGGTAGGTGTTGTGATCTCACACGCACTCCCCGCTGTGGATGTATTTAGCTCACACGCACACAGAGAGGGATGATGCGCTGCATCGACCCACACACGTGTGTGTGAACACACACACACACACACACGCATGCTGACAGGCAGTCTAATGCCACCTCACGGTGCGTTGCACTTGCATGTGCGTGACTGTGACTGTGACTGTGTGCATGTCGTTCATGCTGTGTCTGCTTGTGATTCACACTGTGTGTGTGGTGGTGGTTGCTTGCTTCCCTCTGTCTCACACATGTATGTGTATTGATGGTGACACACACGGACACACACACACAGTGGGTGAGTGTGCAGACACACATCCCCACACAGGCCAGACAAGGCAGGCAAAGCAGGGCACACTCTGCCTTCACTCCCTCTGCTGCTGCCACCACCGCTGCTGCAGGGATGGACCAGTGGATGCAAGGCGTGTTGGATGATGCTGGCTGGCTGATGTCCTTCCCTTGGTGCGTGTGTGTGTGTGTGTGTTGCAGCACTGCTGCTCTTGTTTCTCCCTGTTTGTGTCTGTTGTGTTTGTTGTGCGATGCTACTTCTGTGTGATTGTGTGTGCGTGTGTGTGTGTGTGTTCACCACAACCACGTCGTGTGCGCCCATAACCATCGTCTGTGCTCACGCATCTCCCATCTCTCCCTTTCTTCTTCTTCTTCTGCTCCCTTCCCTCTTCCCTCTTTCATCCCCACACGCACATGCACACAAAAACATATGGACGCTTGTGCAGGAGAAGTACAGGCTGTGTGTTGGAACCCATGGCATGGCACGCACAACCAAGCAAGGACCATGAGCAAGCAAGGACACAGGACAAGCAAGCAAGACGTGGGGCTGCCATAGACCACGCACCTCGTTGGAGAAGGAGGGGAGCGTGAGCGGGTGGTGTTGCATTGTGTTGTGTGTTGTGTCGTGTTGTGTCGTGTTGTTGTTGACAGCGTGCACGTCTCTCTCCCCTGTATCCTTCTGCCTTCCTCCTTCCCTTTCTCTCTCTGTTCTCTTGCCACAGCATGCACACTGCTGCTGCTGTTGGCTGAAGGCGATGATGGCGGCTGATGGGGGAGTGAAGCGGTGTGGCGTAGCGTGGAGCTGTCGTTTGTTGTGTGTGTGTGTATTGCTTGCAGTTGATATGGGGATGCTTTCTCGCTTATTCTTGCCACGCGCGTGTGTATGTGTGTGTGTGTGTGTTTGCTTGCTGTCGTGTTGCTGAAGTGAAGTGGAAACATACAATGCAACACGCATGTGTGGCTGTGTGCATCGTGTGTTGGTGGTGGTGGATGGGTGTTGATGGTTGCAGTGCAGTAAACACGGTGTGTGTTGTTGTGATGTGAATTGGATTGGTGGTGAGCTGGGCGTGTGGCTGTGGAGTGGGTGCTACATGTAGGTGAGGACAGCAGCAGCAGCAGCTGTGAACGTGGGAGTGCAGGGAAAGGATGAAGCGAGTGGTGGTGGCAGCGACTGGTGGTGGTGGATGTGAACAGGGCTGATGGTGAAGAAGGCGGCGGTGTGGGCTTGATGGGTTTACGATGTGTTGCAACACATGCAGCATGAAACATGAACGAGGCAGGAAAGGTAAGGGAAAGTCAGGGGAAGGAGTGGCGGCACAAAGTAGTGAACAGGGACAAGGGAAGGCATGTAAGCACATGGAAAGAACAGCAGCAGTGGCAAGAATTGAAACAAGACAGAGGGGGGGGGGGGTTGGAACGCAGGTAAAATAGACAAACAAGGCTTGTGGTGACAAGGTGGTGACAGAAAGGGACGAAGGGAAGCACGAATGCAAACAGTGGGTTGTGTTGTGTGGTGCCGTGTGACAGTGAAGTGAAGGATGTGTGATGTTGTGAGGATACGTACTGTGTGGTGGTGAGTGGATGGAAGAGAGGGAGAGACGAGGATCTGGGTGAAGCATGTGGCAACAGGTGCAAAGCAACAATGCATCACATGGATTGTGGAATAGCAAAGGGCAGAGAGAAAGAAACAAGTGAGTGAAGGGTGAGACAAAGGGACAAAGCAGCACGTGCAGGGATGTGTGTTTTGTTGTGTTGTGTTGTGAGTGTGGAGGTGGAGCAAAGGAAGCAGAAGCGCTAACATTGCAGGCAGTAGCACGCATGCGCGAAGAGAGAAGGTAAAGTGGGAAGAGGAGAAGGCGATTGCAGCGAGCTTCTTATGCACCTGATCATATCGCTGCTGGAGGCGAGAGAGGAAGCGCAGGTGATGTCTGAGAGTGAATCCAAGAAGCGAGGCGATGCTGCTGAATGAAGTGGAGTGGCGTGGAGTGAAGTGGGGCGACAGAGCGGTGTGTGAATGAAGGTGTGTGAGTGATGGTGTGGATTGATAAAGGGTCGATTGCAGGTGCGTG